GATTCCTGTTGGTAGTGTCACAATAAGCTATTGTGTTCGACACCTGTTATGTCCGTGTACAACTTTATGTGGGACTAGGTGTGTACTGGCTTCAAGGTAACATAAAATATTAATTTTTATTAAAACACTTCTAGAGAATAGGTGAAGTTTTTCCCAGTCTTTGAATTATCTGTATTTTCACATGCCTAGGGAAGTGAGAAGATTTTTTTAAAGTTACATTAGATCTTAATATGAAGTACACAAGTTATAGTGAATTCTTTGTATTTATATGCTACTTATGTATGGGTATATTATGGTTATTATTTTTTCCAGCTCTTTTGACATACAATTGACATGCAACACTGCATAAGTTTTAAGTGTGCAGAGCATAATTATTTTCTGTTTTGTTTTAAAATTTTATTTATTTTAATTGAAGGATAATTACCTTACAATATTGTGATGGTTTTTGCCATGTGTCAGTATGGATCGGCCATAGGTATACACGTGTCCCCTCCATCCTGAGCCCCCCTCCCACCTCCCTCCCCACCCTACCCCTCCAGGTTGTCATAGAGCACTGGCTTTGGGTACCCGGCTTCGTACATCAAACTCGCACTGGTTATCTATTTTACATGCCCTAATGCATATATTTCAGTGCTGTTCTCTCAAGTCGTCCCACCCGTGCCTTCTCCCACTGAGTCCAGACATCTGTTCTTCACATCTGCGTCTCCTTTGCTGTCCTGTATGTGGGATCGTTGGTACCATCTTTCTAGATTCCATATACAGAGCATAACGATTTAATTTATATGTATCTTGAAATGATGACAAGTTTCGTGAATATCTATCATCTCATAGGGGCTTCCCAGATAACTCAGGTGGTAAAGAATCCACCTGCAATGCAGGAGACCCTGGTTCAATTCCTGGGTTGGGAAGATCCACTGGAGAAGGGATAGGCTACTCACACCAGTATTCTTGGGCTTCCCTTGTGGCTCAGCTGGTAAAGAATCCACCTGCAATGCGGGAGACCTGGGTTCAATCCCTGGGTTGGGAAGATTTCCTGGAGAAGGGAAAGGCTCCCCACTCCAGTGTTCTGGCCTGGAGAACTCCTGGACTGTCTAGTCCATGGGGTCACAAAGAGCTGGACACGACTGAGTGAATGTCACTTTCAGATCATCTCATATAAATACAAAATTAAAGATAGAAAAGTATTTTTTTGTGTGAAGAGAACTCTTAGGATTTACTGTTCTACTAACTTGCATACATAAGATACAGCAATATTAACCATATTTACTACATTGTACGCCACATCCTTGGTTCTAATTTATCTCACACCTGGAAGTTGTTACCTTTTGACTGCCTTCATCCAATTCCCCCATCCCCAGCCCTAGCCTTGATAACCACATATCAGATCTCTTTTTCTATGTGCTTGTTGTTTTACATACAATTGGCCAAGAACACTGTTACTTCCTGTTACCCAGTGTAGTGATTCCATGTTTCTGTTCATTTCAAAATAATCACCACAATAAGTCTAATTACCATCTATAGACATTTTAAAAGTTACATAATTGTTACTATATTCTTTACATTGACCATTTCATGCTCCTGACTCATTTATTGTGTACTGGCAGTTTGTCCTCCTTAACCTCCCTCACCAGCGGATCGGGTGTGCGTGCCCATAGAAAGACACACACAGAATGGTTCATGGCAGCTTTATTCATAAATGGCAAAAATACAGATTGTTCCCATGAACATTCGGAGACTGGACAGAGCATTTGTAGCATTTTCGTACAATGGATTAATATTCATTAATTTAGAAACCAAAATGAAGTACAGCTATTGACAGCAATTTCACAAAATCTCACAGCTCTCGTGCTAAACCAAAAAATCAAACACACTCACTAGGTTAATCAATTTATTATTGATGTAAATTTTAAAATGTGGAAAACCTGACCATAGGGTAGTTGCCTGTGGAGATAAGGCATAGTACAGAATGGGAAGAGACAAAAGGAAATCTTACATTGTGCTGGAAATTTGCTCTCTTTAGTTCTAGGTAGTAGTTATATGGGTGTATATATATATATAATTAAAAGACATCAATCAGAACACTTAAGGTTAATTTCAGTTTAAGTATTTAACTATTCATATGTTTACTTTAGCTTTAAAAATACCATTTTTTCTGAAAAATAAAGTTAAAAGTTACTGTTTTACTTCAAATATTCATTTTTCATTGAACTCAAACTTTCACCCTAAAACAATATAATGTAATTATGGAATAGGGAGTGACTTCAAAAGGCATGAAGGAACATTTGGGATGATGAAAATATTCTACATCTTGATAATAGGGTGGTTATATAACTGTATATATCTTATCTTTAAGATGCCTTCACACAAACATCTGATAATTTCACCAAGCATCTGAGTACTACTGTCTAGCCAAGGTGACACAAAATTAACTACCACACAAAATATCCAAGTTCATCTTGGATATTTAGTTCAGAAGATTTCCAACCCAACTATGAAAGATCCACCTGATTTCTTCTTGCTTCTTGTAGTAAAATACATTCAATGTGATGAAAATTGAAGAATGAACTGTCAAAGAGAAAGGAACCAAGGTGAGATGATTTGAAATGACTCAGCATATCCACATACTATACTCACCAATCAAGCCCATGGTGAGGCTGAACAGTCCTTTGTTTACAAGGTTAGGCATGTGAGCCCAGATCCAATCAGTTATCTCGGCCTAAGCCAGAAGTAGAGATGCTGTTATCCAGGGAAAATGTGTGATGTACACACATGACTAAGAGCTGGCATGTATTAGTGCACAAGAGACTGACAGAGGTTCTGAGAAGGTTATTCTAGCAGAAATGCTTCCAGCTAGGACTGAAAGGAGCAGGCATCATACAGGTAACAGAGGAAAGTCTCCAAAGATAGCGCCCTGCACGCGTGGGCGGGGCCAAAAGGGCCTCCTCCCCCTGAGAAAATAGTCTCACCTCCCTGGTGCTTCATAAAGCTGAGTCTGCCCGCATAGGGCTGACATGGAGCATGACCTTCACAGAGGAGTGTTCTCTGTCCCCAGAATCTAATGAGATTTCTCTTGGTGGGTTTTGAATTTGTTTAAGACTTGTGACCCCTTTCTTATCTCTTTCTCCATTTATGAATGGTAATTTCTATCCTATGTCTGTATTAACATTGTACTTTGGAAGCACATTACTTGTTTTCTGGTTCACAGGGTCACATGTGACTACAGATTTTGCCCATGGATTGTCCAGAAACTGAGTCTCCCTCATAACTTATTTAGAAGACATTTAAGTAAAATTTGGGCCTTCCACTTGATGCCGTAAAGAGTGAAAACTTTGGAGGATGTTGGAATTGGGTGAATCTATTTGACACATGGGAAAATAGGAATCTGAGAGACAGGGTCCCTTTTGGCCAGGACCTAAAAGTGTTACCTTATTTAGAACTAGGGTGTCTACCAGATGTAATCAAGTTAAGATGATGTCATTATGGTGACCTCCAATGAAATGTGACTGACATCGTTGTAAGAAGAAGAAAATACAAGTAAAGACAAAGATAATCGGGGAGATATTTTTCTGATCAGAGAGGCAGAGATTAGAATGATGCAGCTGCAAGCCAAAAAAACCAAAGATAGATGCCCACTCCTAGAAGCTACAGAGCAGGAAAGAAAATTCTACCCATTCTCAGGGAGAGCATGAAATAAAAAGAACAAATGGAAGCAAAAGGAGCCACATGCTATTGTTAGTCTTCGGGTGACCGCAATCCTGTTCATAAGTGCTCCATCCAAAATACCTCATCTAATCCTTGTTGTTGTTCAGTTACTCAGTACGTCCGACTCTTTGCAACCCCATGGACAGCAGTATGCCAGCTTTCCCTGTCCTTCACTATCTCCCAGAGTTTTCTTAAATTCCTGCCATTGAGTCGGTGATGCCATCCAACCAGCTCATCCTCTGTCATCCCCTTCTCCTCCTGCCCTCAATATTTCCCAGCATCAGGGCCTTTTCCTTGAGTAGGCTATCCCATCGGGTGGCCACAGTATTGAAGCTTCAGCTTCAGCATCAGTCCTTGTAATGAATATTCAGGATGGATTTCTTTTAGGATTGACTGGTTTGATTTCCTTGCAGTCCAAGGAACTCTCAAGAGTCTTCTCCAGAATCTTTGTCCTTACCTTTTTCATGCATGTAAATTGCACCTTCAATAAAACTTAGTTGCTCAAGGACAGAGGCCCCATAGAGTTGAGGTCTCTTATGCTAATGATCCGTGTAAATAATTTACCTTCCCAGGAGTCCTTTTCTGGGAGCAGAGGGGAAACTAATTGACTAGCAGTTGGGAGAGCAATGGCCATACCTTTCCTAATTCTGAAATCTATCGGGCCACTAGAGACTTCAGCAGCCACGGATACAGTCAACCACGGAAACCTCAGCTATTGTCCTGAATTATGCCTAGATAATGCCAAAGACTGAGCAAGGGCCTAGGTGTCGGGACAGTCTGGAGGGCCCCAGGTCCAAAGTAGAGTCCTGAGAGGTGTCTGCCCCACAGGGATCCACTGACTGTTTTCGGGTGGAGGAGCTTGATTCTTTTTATTTAGTCCAGCGTTCTGGAAAAGGGTCGACGATGACCGCGCCTGCCCTTGATTCCTTCCCATCCTTCCTAAGTGGGGAAGTGACAGTGTGTTCACGAAGAGGCGCTGAACATTTCCCGCGAGCCGCTGAGGTTCTCCTTTAGGTCTGCAGACGAAGAAGTGATGTCCTGGCAGGGTCTGAGCAGGAGGTGCAAAGCAGCCCGCGCGTTCACAAGGTAGGCCTGGGCTGGGGCCACACCCCGCCTCTCCCGGCTTAAGGACCGCCCCCGGCCCGAGGCCCCGCCTTGCAGCCCGCCCATTGGCCGGCCGGGCCGCGTTCCAGGCCACGCCCACCTCCGTGACCGCACTGGACTGGGTGAATCCGCGGATTGTTGCGCGCGGTAACTCAATTCGGAAAGGTCTGTCCCGCGTTGGTCTGCGGTGTCCCGCGTTGGTCTGCGGTGTCCCGCGTTGGTCCCCGCTGAACGTCCCGAAAATGACAGCGTCTTGCGCGCCTCGCCAGGCACCTCCCACTCGCCCCGAGAGTCCCCTCTTCCCTTGGTGCTGCGTTGGGATGCTTTTGGCGGCCCTAGTGCTCCCGTTACCCATATTCTCCGGTAGGAGCCTGGAGACAGCGTGCGCCCAGACGGCGAACTGGAATGGGTCGGGGGCGGGCAGGCCAGAACCGGGGACGGGGGGCTTTGCTTGGTGGTGCGGGGCGGTGACACGGTGCTGGATTCAACGGGGGTCCTGCGAAGTTGGGGTAGAGGGCGGAGTTGGGGTAGAGGGCGGAGTTTGGGTAGAGAGCGGAGTTGGGGTAGAGGGCGGGGCGGGTGTTTCCCGGGTCTAGTTGTGCGGCGTCCTAAGGAGAAGGCTTGCTTGTTGCGGGGCACTGAGAACTGCGCTATAGTGGGCTCGGCATGGGTTCACCAGGGCCAGGCTGGTTCCCTGGCAAGAGCTTGTAGGGTGTTTACAGGACAGAGCCTGGTGAGGACAGGTGCAGGGCCCGGGTGTTGGTGGGGAGGGCTTGCTCAAGTGTCTGGGGATGTTGCGAGGGGAAGGATTTGCCCTGTGTTCCCTGCGCGGTTGGGGGAATGGGGTTATGTCCCGCTGGGGGAGCCGGGAGAAATATACCCCGGTATATGCTTTCTGGAAGTCCCCAACATAGTAGTGCCTGGTGTGGGACTAGAATGCTTATTGTTTGCTTTGCGTGGGGCTTACCAAAGCAACCGAAAACATATTGGTAGCCAAACCTAGTGAAAAATGAGTATCCTGGAGATAAACTATAAATGGTGTTCACCTGGTTTTCCCTTAAAGCTCATAAATTAGAGCTGAGACCCCGTCCACTAAGTTTGTGTGTTTCATTGAATCAAACAAATACTTTAAATATGTACAAAAATGCATGCTTATTGTATAAAACATAAACAAGGACAACCATTTTTTAATACATTGGTATATTTCCTTGTCTTTGTCCACAGATGTGTTTCTATGCCCAGGATATTTTTAGGATCTATTCCATGTAGTTTGTTTGCTGCAGTATTTCTTAGCAGCATTCATTCAACAAATACTTGTCTTCTGTATGCCAGGTCCTGTCCAGGTCCTGAGGATGCACTGGTGAACAATAAACCCAGCATTCCTATTTTCACTCTCCTGATTTCACTGTCTGTCTGTCCCCCCCCCCCCTTCCGCACATACATGTGAGTATATGCAGGGACTGAGTTTTGCTCACTGTTACACCCCCAGTGCCAGGCACACATTAGGAAATCGAATATTAATATTTGCTAGAATTTGTTGGGAGTGGCAGACGGTAGCCAACACGTAAGACTAATGAATATGCTATAACCCAAGAGAAGTGCCCAAGAGGAAAGAAGCATGATTCTCTGATGGCATTTAACAAAGGACTGGTGGGAGGGAAGACTTTTCTGCTCAGCAAACAGGCTAGACTCTGCCATCTTGTCTTCTGCACTTGTTGTTTCCTCAGAGGGCTTAGAAGATTCTTCTGCCTTATGCACAATTAACTCTTTCTTATTCTTCAAGCTCTGTGATGTCACCTTTTCAGAGGGACTTTCTCTGACCTACCATTTCCAGTGGACTCACACACACTTCAGTTTAATTCCCCTGCTAACTGGTAGTCACACACCCAAACTGTGTTTTCCATTCTCTCCTCACTAGAACGCAGAGATCTTGGCTGTCTTGGCACACTTGTGGTTCGAAATGCCCTTTTTTTTTTGCCTCAGTGTCAACACTCTCATATAACTATCGAGTACCAGAAGATTAGAGGTAACTTTCAGCTGGGGCTTAGAGTCCAGGAACAACTTCTCTCGCTTCCAGGAGGAGGGTTCTCTAAAGAGCCACCCTTAGGACGGCCTTTCTGTGGTGCCTAGAAGCTGAGGCAGGGGCAGCTGAGCATCCGAAAGGATTTATCTGCCCCTGATAGTAGACTCCTCAGGGCCCACACTGCTGCAGTCTTGCTTGTTACAGATGGTTTTACAAGTTTACTTCTCTGCAGGAGAGGTGTGAGTGATGGAACAGCAGTGCTAACGAGAAATTAAAAGGAATTCTTTAATAATGTTTAAAATATACTTAAGGCTAGAAGTTGAATGAGATGATGAGAATTGTTCAAAATAGAGAAAAAAAGGATAAAATGAATAGGATATATCAGGGAAGATACCAACTGGAAATGAAGAGGATGAATAGGTTATGTTTAAAGTTGAAAGGTAAAATCAGGATAGGTAGGAAAGTTAAATAAGGTATAAATGGGAACTCAGTATACTGGGCATGGAAAGTATGTGGATACAACAAACAGTCACAGAAGTGGCTCTTGAGGAGCAGGTTTAATAAGTAGTAGTTGTGCCTGGAAGGCTTGCCAGCTTGGAGGTAGCTGCCCAATGTCAGGAGCCCACAGAAGGGACCAGTCTCATTCCTCCAGAGCAGGGTCTGCTTTTTGGGACAAAACCTATAATTTCCTTTTGTAAGTGATCTCTTCTGCCTATATTGTCTTTTCTTTCTTCCTAATGAAAGAAGCCAAGATCAGTAAATGCTTACATGATAGTGTCTTAGTTTTCTTGCTCTTTGTATTACAGTGCAAGAAGAACAGTCCTTATCAGTCAGTTGCTAGGTTACCATACTACTGGGAGATAGACAACAGAAGAAATGATGTGGTCAAATATTTCTCCAGTGCATAAAGTTTTAAGATGATTATTTTCAATGGTTGGATTTATTGTACTGTATTCTTTACCGTTGATTTCTGTTTAACAGTAGTGATACTTTGAAAACCAAAGTGTTTTGAAGCATGACTGTGACGGACATGCTGTGTGAGATGTTGTTGGCCACAAGGATGAAGGGAGTCCACTATATTATGTGTTCAACATAAAAGCATGTAATGGTAAGCAAGCAGAGGAAAGGCCAAGTGCTGCTGAACTCAGGTTGAATTTCTTACCACTCAGAAAGTCAGTACTTCAGAGACAAGTGTCAGTAGGAATGGAAAGGTTGCTTTAAGCAGAAGGCTGGCATCTGGGGAGAGGGCAGACTTCTGTCCCAGAACCTACTCTGAAGATTCTGCTTGGCCCTGAAAGTTTTTAAAGGGAAAAAGGGGAAGTAGTCTCCAAAGTTAGTCATCGTGATGTGCACGCATGCTCAGTCGTGTCTGACTCTTTGTAACCCCATGAACTGTAGCCTGCCAGGCTCCTCTGTCCGTGGGATTCTTGAGGCGAGAATAGTGGAGTGGGTTGCCATTTTCTACTCCAGAGGAATCTTCCTGACTCCAGGGATTGAGCCCATGTCTCTTACGTCTGCAGGCAGATTCTTTACCACTGCACCACCAGGGAAGCCCAGTCATTGTGATAGGAAGTCATATTTGTTGACATCTCCAGTTGCCTGCAGACTTCTTGACTCCTTGTGATCTTTCTTTAGATGCTCTCTCACTGAGTTTGCTCTCAAGATTACTGAAGGGAAAACTGGGGGGAAAACTGGGGGAAAGACTGGCCATCTCTTAATTATTCTTCATTTCCATTTCTTGAACTTAGAAAAGAGACAACAGGTTAGGCAGAGTATTGTGTGATCAAAAGATGTGAAAGGTATGCTTGGGCCAGAGGTTAGTTAAAATATAGCTTTGATAAAGTGACAAGACAAAGGGGACCTCCTGCAGATAGCTCTTTCCTACAAAAAGCTGCTTACACGAGAGAAGGGACTGATCACTGCCTCCCCATGGAAGCAGAAGCTACTTGCTAGAGGAGATGTTGAGTGAACTAAGGTCAAGGAAGACAAGAGCTGAAGGAGTTGCTCCAGAGCAGGAAGAAAGGTGTTCAGAGCAGAGGAAGGAGTGTGAGCAAAGGCTCAGAGAGGTGACGTGGCTTAGGGCAGTGGTGACCTGTCTGGTCACCCCATGTGGCGGCAGTGGGGTGAAGGAGGCAAGAGGAAGGCAGCAGTGTAGATCACAGAGTGAATGATTGTGGAGAAACAGGATAGTTAGGAATGAACAATTAAAATCAGAAAAATCAGACTATGGTATTATAACCTGTTCTTTCTGGGCACCTTGAGACTTTTTGTTGGCTCTAGCAAATGCACATCTAAACTCTGTGTGTGTGTGTATACTCAATTGTGTCTGACTTTTTGTGACCTCTGGACTGCAGCCTGCCAGGCTCCTTTGTCCATGGAATTGTCTAGGCAAGAATACTGAAGTGGGTTGCCAGTTCCTACTCCAGGGGATCTTCTGATCCAGGGATCTAACCGGTGTCTCTTGCATTTGTAGGCGGATTCTTTACACTGCACCATCTGAGAAACCACATCTAAACTAGGTTGCTTTAATTTCCCCAGGCTCAGTATAAGACCATTTCTTAAGGACTAAATACAAACATCGCTGTCATCACCATAGGAGGATTTCAGATGACCGACAGTGATGGAAAACAGTGTTGGTAATGGAACCAAGATTCCTGGCTTGACCCTGGGTGTGCTACCTACTAGGAATGTATTCATGGGAAAGTTCCTTCACCTTGCCATAGGTCAGATTGCTTATCTTAAAGAAAGGAAAATAGTACCCAATTCATAGGAAGACTGTGAAGGATATGTTAGTTTAAAAAACACGAAAACAATGATTGGCACAGGTAATGCCTGGTTTGCTATTTCTAAAATGATTGATATCACCAATGTTTTTGTAAGAAACATGTTCTGGAATTGTTCATTGCTAATCTTTAGGAAAAATATAACCTACAGTCTTTGGAGTTCACTTTTAATGTTAAAATATGATTTCTTGTCATAGAAGTGATATAAAATAGGTTTATAATAAAATATTAAAGCAGATATTTTGACATGAAAGAAGTGAAAAATTCTGATAAACAAATTTTTGTAAAGAAACCCCCCAAAAATGGAATCTGAAAAAAACAGTAGTAAAAAAAAGTGATGATTTGAAGATATTTCTGGAGCAGTTTGGCTGAAGAGTAAAGAATTTTAATTTTATCAAAAGTATGTAAAACTGATAACAGTGCTCCTTCAACTGTGGCGCTAGGAGCTAGAAATGCAGTGATGAATGAGACATGGCCCCCGGGAAGGTTACCATGTCCTAGGGAATATAAGCAATGAACAATTACAGTATGAAAAGTGCTATGAAAGAAGTAAATTGTGGCACCACAAAGACGCTTGACCCAATTTTTTGAGTGAGAGATGTTAAGAGCCTCAGGGAAGAAGTGGCATCTAGGATGAAACTGAAGGAGGGATGGCAAGGTCTCTGGTCAAAGCTGGTCAAATGATGCATGGAGGTCCAGGGTGATACAGGAAGCTGAGTGATTTAATGGGCAGTACTGGTGGAATTGAATGTTGCCTGGAAAATCCCATGGATGGAGGATCATGGTAGGCTACCGTCCATGGGGTTGGAAAGGGTCAGACATGACTGAGCAACTTCACTAGATGAGTGTGCAAGAGTGAGCAGATACTAAAGCTCTCTTAGCTGTATCAGGGAACCTTAGACATTATCGTGAGGGAACAGGGAGCCATTGAAATATATCTGACTTGGAAGAGCCCTGGTCATGGCATTATATCAGTATTATATGGTGGTGGTGTGTAAATGAACTGAATGAAAGGTGGCAAGACCAGTATGGAGACCTATTCAGAAACTCTTGCAGCAGTTCAGATAAGAAATGATAGTGGCTTGAATTTTTAGTAGAAGTAAAGGTGGAAATAGAGAGAAAACAGGCATTTCAGTTGTGGAAACTTGGTATGAAGAGTCAAAAGAGACCACACTCTGGCTTCATTATGTTACTTGAGAAAGTGCAACACCTTCCAAGTAGAGCTGTGTTGGGAGGGAATTGAATACATAGACTTGGCACCCCAGCTAGAGATCTAGGATGGATAGAGTGGTTTGGGAGGCAGCTCTTATCAGTGTTCATGATGTCATGAGAGTATGTATTCTCACCCAGGGGGATTTGCAGAATGAAAATTAGGAACGTTCCTAGAATAACCCATGAGTAACGTCACATAATGCAATCAGACATAGAAGGAAGAGTAGCCAGAGGACAGGCTGGACATCAAGGTCACTTGTTTCCTGAAAACCAAGGGAAAGAGCTTTTCGGGCATGAAGGAGCAAAGGGAAAATGATCAATCGCTCCAGATGTTATAGGCAGGAAACCTTAATTTTAGGTTACTGAGGGAAAGGGTTAGGGTGAATTTTATCTAGAAGGAAGCTACTTAATGACTTTGAAAGTATGTTATAAATGAGTGGAAATTTAGAAGTAAAATTGACAGATTATGCGTTAGAATTTGCACTTTGAATAAGCAAAGAAATTTTAAAAATAGATAAGATTTGGGGAAATTATGCCTTGGGTCAGAGACCATGATTTCCTGAGGGGACTACATGAGAAGGGGTATGGGTGTGTGCTTGTGTCAGAGATTTATTTTTAATTTTTGTAAGTGGGTAGAGAGTGAGTGCATAATTTTTCCAAGTGTGTAGAAAGTGAACAGTTCTCTTGATTCATAGCAGAGTACTGTTTCACTTTTCTATCACTTACCTGGAGCAATAGGGAATTTTCTGAATGCAGCCTATTGTATTGTGTAATAATACCTATTTTTAAAGTATAATATTGCATTTCTTGCCTTGTTTTTTTACTAATGACTTATTACTTGATATTTAGTTTATATTTATTTGAAACTATAGAAGTGATGTTAGACAAATTTGAGTGAATTTTTATTTGAGTTCAAAAGGGTCATAAAGCAGTGGAGACAACTTACAACATTAACGCGTTTGGGCCTGGAACTGCTAACAAACGTACAGTGGAGCAGTGGTTCAAGAAGTTTTGCGAAGGAGACGAGAGCCTTGACGATGAGGAGCATGGTGGCCGGCCATGGGAAGTTGATAATGACCAGTTGAGAGGATTATCAAGGCTGATCCTCTTTCAATTACACAAGTTGTCCAAGAACTCAGTTTCGACCATTCTCCAGTCATTCAGCACTTGAAGCAAATTGGGAAGGTGAAAAAGCTTAAGTGGGTGTCTGATGAGCTGACTGGAAATCAAATAAATCATCATTTTGAAGCGTTGTTTTCTCTTATTCCACACAGCAACAGTGAACCATTTCTTGGTCAGATTGTGACATGCAACGAAAAGTGGATTTTTCTATGACAACTGACAACAACCAGCTCAGTGGTTGGACCGAGAAGCTCCAAAGCACTTCCCAAAACCAAACTTGCACCCCCCAAAAAAGGTCATGGCCACTGTTTGGTGGTCTGCTGCCCACTTAATCCACTGTAGCTTTCTGAATCCTGACAAAACCATTACATCTGAGAAGTATGCTCAGCAAATCAATGAGATGCACCGGACGCTGCAATGCCTGCAGCCAACATTGGTGAACACAAAGGGCCCAATTCTTCTCCACTACAGCACCCAGCCACACATCACACAACCAACACTTCAAAAGTTGAACAAATTGGGGTAAGATATTTTGCCCCATCTGCACATTCACCTGACCTCTTGCCAGCCAACAACCACTTCTCCAAGCGTCTTGACAACTTTTTGTAGGGAAAATGCTTCTACAAAAGGCAAGAGGTAGAAAATGGTTTCCAAGAGTTCTTAGAATCCCGAAGCATGGATGTTTATGCTACCGGAATCAACAAACTTATTTCTCATTGGCAAAAATGTGTTGATTGTAATGAATTCTATTTTGATTAATAAAGATATGTTTGAGCCTAGTTATAATGATTTAAAATTCAGTCTGAAGCTGCAATTACTTTTGTATCAACCTAATATATAAAGTGAAGTCATATTTTGAAATACATAGTCCACATCTATTTTGATCTTTTGAAATCAACAATGCTTATTTAATGATCTCTTCTTACTACAGCAAGTCTTGAGCACCCAGTGTGTACAAAGTAATAGAAAAAGTATATGATCCCTTCCCTCTAGAACCTTGCCTTCTGAGAGGAAACTGAGCATGAATTGACAAGTGATCATATGCTTGTGTTTCAAACTATTGAAGAGTAATCTGAGCAGAGTGTTATAGACTATAAAAGAACTTTTAAGATGAGAGGTGAGTTTTGAAATAAATTTAGGGAAAAAATGTGTAAGGAAACATGTGCTGTGCTGTGCTAAGTTGCTTTAGTCGTGTCTGATTTCTTTGCGACCCCCTGAACTGTAGCCAGCCAGGCTCCTCTGTCCATGGGATTCTCCAGGCAAGAATGCTTTAGTGTGTTGGCATGCCCTCCTCCAGGGGATCTTCCCAACTCAGGGATTGAACCCACGTCTCTTATGTCTCCTGCATTGGCAAGTGAGTTCTTTACCATTAGCACCACCTGGGAAGCCCGTGAGGACACATACATTTAATACCCAAAAGATAGATTTTGTGTCCTTGAATTTACTGTTGAATGAAAATTTAGCTTATTCCTCATCAAGTTAAAAGTTAATAGGATTTTTTCAGTAAGCAAGACACATTCTCCACTACTACCATCGTTTGGATAAAACCATGGATAAAATCATTTAAAATATTGCTAAGAAACTTTCTACTTATTCTGTATTACCTGCTTGCTGCTAAGCCATAATGGCTGATGGGAAAGATTAAACCCCTAATTTTCTGTCTTTATTCTCTTATTCCTAGTACGCTGCATTGATCCACCAGTATTGGACAGTATGAAGCTTAAGGGTGTCATTAAACGCCATTATTACCCCGGGGACAGAATAGACTATGAGTGTTACCGAGGATACTTTTACGTGTGGCCTTATCTCCTCTCAGCTACTTGTGAGCCTAATGGCTCATGGAGCCGTATTGAAGAAGCATGTTTAAGTAAGGAAACTAAACCATTTTTATTTCCTAGATTTTTTTTTTCATTCTCTAGAGATTTTTGCACATTTTAAGAGTTAATTTTCCACTACAACAGTAGTGATTTTCTCATAAGAAACTAGGTTGTAGATAGCAATCCATTTTTTCTGGCTTTGAGAAATCTCCAGGGAATCTTTCTTGGGGATTGTCCCTCGATAAATGTGAATTTCAAGTTTGCCCTTATAATAATTAATAAAGAAAATATATTTCATCAATAGAAAAGAACAGTGTAGAATTTTGATCTTGATTTAAATGTTTTGAAATTGGTATGAAAAAACAAATTTGAAAATTTTCTTTTAGGAAAATCATGTCCAGATCCAAAAGTAAAACATGGTAAAGTAGTTGCCCCAAATGAAACATTTGAGTGGGAATCAGAAGCTCACATTTCTTGTGATGAGGGGTAAGTAAGTTACACTTTAGAAAGAAATAAGGTAAACATTGTGAATTTCATTTTTCTTTGCTTCTCAACTTGATCATTTCCTTAAAGTTGATTTCATGTTTCTTTCTAGGTGGTAAGTGGCACTTGAAATGATGTGTTATACTGAAATGATAAGTTACACTGAAAAAATGTGTAATTAATAGAAAGAAAGTAAAATTGAAGAAAAGCAAGATTATATACTTATTATATGTGAGAATAAGCCTATTGGATGTGTCAAAAATGTAATAATCATGGTAGCTTTATCCTTAACTACAAAGGACACCTGTTTAAAATGGCCATTCTCAGAGTTGAAGGCGGGCTCACAGAATGACTGACGTCAGCAGTGTAGGAGGGCTCCTTTCTCTCCACACCCTTTCCAGCATTTATTATTGGTAGACTTTTAAATGATGGCCCTTCTGACAGGTATAAGGTAATATCTCATTGTAGTTTTGACTTGCATTTCTCTAATAATTAGCAGCATTTAGCATTTTTTTTTCATATGCCTGAAAAAGACACTTGTATGCTTCTTTGCAAAAATGTCTGTCTAGTCCTTCTGCTCATTTTTTTATTATGTTGTTTTTGGTATTAAGCTGTGTGAACTCCATATATTGGAAATTAATCCCTTCTTGGTAGAATCATTTTAGTTAGAATATTTTCTAGATATTTACTTAGAATATTTTCTCCCAGTCTGTAGGTTTCCTTTATTTATGATTTCCTTTGTCATGTAAAATGGCTTCCCATTTAGTTAGATCCCAGTTTTTTATTTTTGTTTTTATTTTCATTACTCTAGGAGATGTATCCAAAAAAATATTGCCACAATTTATGTTAAAGAGTGTTCTGCCTATGTTTTCCTCAAAGAGTTTTATAATATCAGGTCTTACATTTAGGTCTTTAACCCATTTTGAGTTTAGTTTTGTATTTATTTATATGTGGTGTAAAAGAATGTTCTATGTTCTATATGGTGTAAAATGTTCTGTATGTAGAATGTTCTATATGGCATAAAAGAATGTTTCATTCTTTTCACATGTAGTTGTCTAGTTTTTCCAGCACCACTTATTGAAGAGACTGCCTTATCTCCATTGTCTCTTCTTGCCTCCTTTGTTCTAGATTAGTTATCAGTGTATGAGTTTATTGATGGGCTTTCTAGCCTGCTCTGTGGTTCTATACATCTCCTTTTCAGCCAGTACCATACTGTTTTGAAGACTGTAGCGTTATAGTATAGTTGAAGGCAGGGACCACGATTCCTCCAGTTCCATCCTTCCTTCTCAAGATTGTTTTGGCTGTTAGGGGTCTTTTGTGTTTACATACAACTTAAGACATTTTTTACTCTAGTTCTGTGAAAAATGCCATTGATAGTTTGGTAGGGATTGCATTGAATTTATAGATTGTCTTGGGTAGTATAGTCATTTTGACAATGCTGATTCTCCAAATCCAAAAACACAGAATATCTTTCCATCTGTTTGAGTCATCTCCAATCCCTTTCATCAGTGTCTTATCATTTTAAGAGTATAGGTTTTTTTGCCTCCTTAGACAGGTTTTTTTCTATATATTTTATTCTTTTTGATGCAGTAGTAAATGGGATTGTTTCCTTAATTTCTTTTTCTGATATTTCATTGTTAGAGTATAGAAGTGTGACAATTTCTGTATATTAATTTAGTATTCATCAACTTTTCAAAATTCATTGATGCGCTCTAGTAGTTTTCTGGTAGTGTCTTTAGGATTTTCTATGTATAGCATCACATCATCTGCAAACAGTGATGGTTTTACTTCTTTTCCAATTTGGATTCCCTTTATTTATTTTTCTTCTCCATTTCCTGTGTCTAGAACTTCCAAAACTATGTTGAATTAAAGTGATAAGAGTGGGCATCCTGGTATTTTTCCTGATCTTAGAGAAAATGTTTTCCATTTTCACCATTGAGTATGATATTAGCCATGGATTTGTCATATATGACCTTTATTATGTTGAGCCATGTTTTCTCTAAGCTCACTTTCTGAAGAGGATTTTTTAGATCATAAATGGGTATTGAATTTTATCATATATTTTTCCTGAATCTATTGATAGGATCACATGGTTTTTGTTCTTCAGTTTGTTAATATGATGTAATGCATTGGTTGATTAATGAATATTTAAAAATCTTATATCCCTGGGATAAATCTCACTGGATCATGATGTATGATCCTTTTAATGTATTGTTGGAGTTGGTCTGCTAATATTTTGTTGAGAATTTTTGTTTATATTTTCATCAATGATTGACTTAAAATGTTCTTTTTTGTGTGATATCTTTGTTTGGCTTTGGTATTAGGATGATGCTGGTCTCATAGAATAAGTTTGGAACTGTTCTTTCTTCTCCAAGTTTTTGGAATAGTTTCAGAAAGATGGATGGATGTTTGGTAGAATTCACCTGTAAAGCCATCTGGTCCTGGAATATTTTGCTTGTTGCGAGTTTTTAAATTACTGATTCAATTTCAGTACTGGTGATTAGTCTGTTCATATTTTCTATTTCATCTTGGTTCAGTCTTGGGAAATTATCTCTTTCTAAGAATATTTCCATTTCTTCTACATTAGATTGTCCATTTTATTGGTAAATAGTTGCTTGTAGTAGTCTTTTGTGATCCTTTGTATTTCTGATGTGTTGGTTGTAACTTCTTTTTCCTTTCTGGTTTTATTGATTTGGGCCCTCTCCCCTTTTTTCTTGATGAGTCTGGCTAAAAGTCTATCAATTTCTTTATCTTTTCAAAGAGCTAGCTTTTAGTTTCATTGGTCTTTTCTATTTTTTTAATTTATTTATTTTAATTGGAGGCTAATTACTTTACAGTGTTGTGGTGGTTTTTGCCATACATTGACATGAATCAGCCAAGGGTGTACATGCATCCCTCCATCCCGAACCCCACTTCCACCTCCCCTCCCCCATCCCATCCCTCTGGGTTGTCCCAGTGCACCGGCTTTGAATGCCCTGGTTCGTGCATCAAACTTGGACTGGTCATCTATTCCACATATGGTAATATACATGTTTCAGTGCTGTTCTCTCAAATCATCCCACCCTTGCCTTCTCCCACAGAGTCCAAAAGTCTGTTCTTTGTGCCTCTTTTGCTGTTTTGCATATAGGGTCATTGTTACCATCTTTCTAAATTCCATATATATGAGTTAATTTACTGTATTGATGTTTTTCTTTCTGACTTACTTCTCTCTGTATAATAGGCTCCAGTTTCTTGCATCTTATTAGAACTGTTTTCAAACTTCTAGTACAAAGTTTCATTTGTTGCTGCTCTGATCTTTATGATTTCCTTCTTTTTACTGACTTTGACTTTTATTTGTTCTTCTTTCTCTAGTTGCTTTAAGTGTAATATTAGGTTGTTTGAGATATTTCTTGTTTCCTGAGGCAAGTTTGTATCACTATAAAATTCCCTCTTAACTACCACTTTTGCTGCAGCCCATAGGTTTTAGATCATGTTTTCATTTTCATTTGTGTCTAGGTATTTTTTAAAAATGCCCTCTTTGGTTTCTTCAGTGCTTCATTGGTTGTTCTATAGCATACCATGTAGCGTCCACATGCTTGTGTTTTTTGCAGTTTTTTTTTTTTTTTCCTTATAGTTGATTTCTGACCTCACAGGGTCATGGTTGAAAAAGATGGTTGGTATGATTTCAGTTTTCTTAAATTAGCTGGAATTGCTTTGTGGCCCAGCATGTGATCTACCCTAGAGAATGTTCCATGTGTACTTGAAAAGAATGTACATTCTGCTGCTCTTGGATGAAATGCTCTGTAAATATTAATTAAGTCCATCTAGTTCAATATGTCACTTAAGGCTCTTGTTTCTTTATTAATTTTCTGTCTGGATGATCTATCCATTGATGTAAGTGGGGTGTTGAAGTTCCCTACTGTTATTGTATTACTGTCAATTTTCCCTTTTTGGCTGTTAGCACTTGGCCATATGTACCAAGGTGCTCCTATATTGGGTGCATATATATTTAAATTGTTATATTTTCTTCTTGGATTGGTTCTTTGCTCATTATATAGTGTCCTTCTTTGTCTCTTGTAGTAGTTTTTACTAAAGAGTATTGTGTCTGCTAGAAGGGTTGCAACTCTGACTCTTTTGATTTCCATTTGCATGGAATGGCTCTTTCCATTTCCTCACTTTCAGTGTGTGTGTCTCCAGATCTGAGGTGGCTTTCTTGTAGACGGCATGTATACAGGTCTTGTTTTAGTAATCATTTAGCCAGTCTGAGTCTTTTGGTTGGAGCATTTAGTCCACTTACATTTAAACTAATTATTGATATGTATTTTCCTATTGTCATTTTGTTGATTTTTTTTTTTTTTTGCTTTTCTTCTCCTTTCTTTCTCATATATTTTGATGACTATCTTCAGTGTTACATTTGGATTCCTTTATCTTTTTTATGTGTACATCTATTACAGTTTTTTTGTGGTTATATGAGATTCTTGTATAGGATTCTATATTTATACATGTTTTAAGTTGCAGATTTCTTAATTTCAAATGTGTTTTAGATATCCTGCCTTTTATTCTCCTCCCCTCACAATTACTGTTCTTGATTTTATATTTCACATCTAATTTTTTTGTGTATCCCTTAACTGCTTATTGTAGATACAAATTATTTCATTGCTTTTTTCTTTTAACTTCCCTACTAGCTTTGTGTGTGGATGATTTTCTAACTGTAAGTTTGCCTTTACCCATAAGCTTTTCCATTTTATAATTTTCTTCTTTTTATCTGTGATCTTTTTATTTCCACAGAGAATTTCCTTTATTGTTTGATGTAAAGATGTTTTGGTAATAGTTAATTGTTTTGTTTTGCTTGTCTCTAAAACTTTTGATTTCTCCATCAAATCTGAATGAGAGAGCTTCGCTGAATAGAATATTCTTGATTGTAACTTTTTGACTTTCATCACTTTAACACCTCTTCTTTATGGCCTACAGAGTTTCTGCTGGAAAATTAGTTGACAATCTTATTGGAGTAATCTCATATGTTA